CCCTGAAACCATCACGACAATCGATACCTCTTTCAGTTTTGATCACTATTAAATATAGTAGCGAAATGACCTTGGAACCAGACTTTCTAATTGCTCTATTTCAAAGTGTTAAAACACAACTTAAAACATAATATGGTACGTGGGAACATAACTCCCCACTTCTAAGTGTGGGCGGCACATAGGGACGTCCTTCCAAAAGGGAACATAGGGGAGAGAGCTTCACAGGGAGAGCGAGGAAGAGCGACTCAGCCAGCTGGTGGCACCACGTGAGCAGAGGTGAGCCTCAGGGACAGGGTGCACCTGGATCTGGCGTGAGGGGGCACCTTACCTCTGTGGTCTTCCTCCCCAGTAACACAGAACCCCAGGGCTTATCACGAGAAGAACGTCAGACAAATCCCAACAGAGGGCATCCTACAAAACACCTGACCAGTACTCCTCAAAACTGTCAAAATCACCAGAAACAAAGAAAGTAAGAAAATGCCACAGTCAAGAGGAGCTTAAAGAGACACAACTAAATATAATGCGCTATCCTGGGACAGAAAAAGGACATCAGTTAAAAACTAAGGAAATCTGAATAAACCATGGACTTTAGTTAAGAGAGAGAATGAGGGGCCAGCCCCGTGGCCTGGTGCTTACGTTCAGCACAGTCCACTTTCGTGGCCCAGGTTCATGGGTTTGGACCCCAAGCATGGACCTACACCACTCATCAGCCATGCTGTGGTGGCGACCCACATACAAAGTAGAGGAAGATTGGCACAGATCCTAGCTCAGAGCTAATCTTCCTCAGCAAAAAACAAAAAGAGAGAGAGACAGAGAGAGAATGAAAGCAATCACTTTGCTTGCACTAAAACTGGTAATATTTTACTGGACCCAAAAGGCTCTGTACCCTTATTAATAAAAAAATTTGGAAAAATTATTTCATCTTTTTATGGTAGTATCTGCATATAATTTTAAAATAACTGTATATAGGGCATGCATTAAAGATATCTTATTGATGGAGGCTGCTGCAGAGAGAGCCACTGACTTCAATATTTTAAATTCAATCAGACCTGGGTTAACTGGGACAGAAACTCTGAAGATTCCTCAGAAAGTCATGCTCCATCCATTTCAAGGATGCTAGAAAAAAATTCTTTTTCTGAGGAAGATTCATTCTGAGCTAATATCTGTTGCCAATCTTCCTCTTTTTTGCTGAGGAAGATTCACTCTGAGCTAACATCTGTGCCAGTCTTCCTGCACTTTGTATGTGGGACACCACTCCAGCACGGCCATGAGTGGTGTAGGTCCACGCCCAGGAACCAAACCTGGGCTGCCAAAGCGGAGCGTGCCAGACTTAACCACTACAGCACCGGGGTTGCACCCCCACACTTATTTTTTAATTGATTATGTCTCTTGTCCCATTCTCTGGACACCTGGGCTACTCCAGTGGGAATGTACTAACAGTGTGCAATTGTTAGGGCCTGCTCGGTGTCAGGACTCACAGGACAGAATAGACAGGACAGACACAATTTTCCCTTATTTCATAGTACGTAACAAGGCAAGATACCAGTTCTCCTTGCATAAGGTCCACTTTGTCCTTTGTACCAGAAAAAAGAACATCACACCTACCACAGACCGGCTCTGCACTGAATAGCAGGTGACCCTGTGGCCACGTTTTGACTGTGAAATGAGAGTAGCCATAAGGGCCCTTCTAGTTCCTACTATCCGTTTTGTCCATGTCCATAACTTCTAACAAGTAACATGAGACAGTTTGTTCTCTTAGAGTGGAACCCTGGGCCTCCCCAAATCTTAGGGACTCGCCACGTCCTAATCTGTGTCCCCTGAGAGTATCCGCGTCACAGCAAGTGAAACCAGAGCAGATCACCAGGACACCTGGGCTGGCTCTGATTTGCAACCGAGAGCAGACAGGGAGGTGGGAGGACCTCACAGTCAGCTGGCAGCTGCTGCTGCAGGCAGGGTGGGCAGGGCCACATTCCAGAGGGCACAGCTGAGTCACCAAGGCAGAAACCAGATGAGTAAGTTTCTCTCAGTGCCTGATGAGGGGAGGCCGCCAGGGAGCAGAGTAGAGCTGGTCTAGAGCAAGGCCTGCCGGGCAGTCTCTGCTTTACATACATTTCCTCAGACATTTCCTCTCAGAATTAAAAAACTCAATCTCTATACAGCTGTCATATCTACAGATCTGTATCAACCCAGGTGAGGGAGATACGTGAGCCTAGTTGCCAACACATTCAGATCTAACCCTGGCTGCCTTTGTATTGACCCCACTTGGGTAACGGATGTGTAAGTGAAAACACGGCAACTTCACCAGCCCCAGACCTCTCAGAGGCCCATCATCAACAGGAGTGTTGGTAATGGATGAAAGTCCCAATAGTTGGCCAGTCGCATGGCTCCTAGTTGACAGGCACCAGCTTGTGGGGTGACCCCCGAGGCCCACTGTATTCCAGGACGGAGTAAGAGCATGACTGTGACACAGCTGGGTTTGGAGCTCTGCTCCATCCCTTACCAGTCGGAAGACCTGAGCTTTCTGTGAGGAAGGCCACCAAGGTTGAGAGAGTTAAGTAAGACGCCGCATGTCAAACAGCTAGCAGATGGCAGGCGCCAAAATAAATGAAGCCGGTCTGGGTCTGCCAGACGGGGGAATCAGATAATGAATGTGAGAGCCACACTTTCTAGCTAACGTTTCAGAGGGTCAAGTGACAGTACTCTTCAGAGCCCTTTGGCAGAAACCAGCTTCAAAAAATAAAGTTTCATGTTTTTCATGACCTTCCTGGCAGCCACTTAGAGTGGCCACTGCAGGAGGGCGAGGCAGATAGGGAGGTGCTAATCCTTGCAAAGAACCAGCCTGTTCAACTGGTTCCTTCATCCCAAGGTGCTTCCTGGCCAGAGGCTCATAAAATGCACACTCCCTTCTCCAGTATCCTAAGGAAGATGCACCATGTATGTACACAAGTGTACACCTACACAATGTGTGGTGTGTGGTGTTACCTTAGCTGCACCACATATGTAAACTGGCACTACACTTAACTGGGGTGAGGGCTCTGAGATGGCCCCTGAATTTATTCTTATACAGTAGTCACCCCTTAGTGCTTTCTGCAGTTTAAGTTACCTGTAGTCGACTGTGGTCAGAAAATATGAAATGGAAAATTCCAGAAATAAACAATTCATGTTTTAAATTGCCGCAGTGTTCTGAGTAGCATGAAGAGATCTCACACCGTTCCGCCCTGTTGCCCAGGACATGAGCGCTCCCTTTGTTCGGCAGATCCACACTGTATACGCTATGACACCTTGGCTGTCAGACTGACACTTGCAGCATGGCAGTGCTAGTGTCCAAGGAACCCTTATTTTACTTAAAAATGGCCCAAAAGTGCAAGAGTAGTGATGCTGGCAATTCAGAAATGCCAAAGAGAAGCCATAAAGTGCTTCCTTTAAGTGAAAAGGTGAAAGTTCTCAACTTAAAAAAAAAATCGTATGCTGAGGTTGCTAAAATCTACAGTAACTTTCATTACAGTAGACTTATAATTATTCTATTAGTTATTGTTGTTAATCTCTTACTGTGCCTAATTTATAAATTAAACTATCATAGGTATGTATGTATAGGAAAAAACAGTTTATATAGGGTTTGGTACTACCTGTGGTTTTAGGCATCCGCTGGCGGTCCCAGAACGGATCCCCCACAGGTAAGGGGGGACCACTGCACAAGCAGCAGACAGTAAGACAGCGCAAAGTGCTGTACGCAGTTGTCAGTTAAACAAACCTGCTTCAATGAGAAAACATCGCCTCCTAGTGGCAGGTTAATAAACTCAGAAAATAGAGGCTGGGAACATTTCTCTGAAAATTCAGCCACAAGCCCCACTCATTGTTTCCAGTATCAAGAGGTCTCATATTAATAAATATCAGTAGCCTAAATTAAGTTTTGCTGGACAAAACTCGACTGACTTTTCCTCTTATTTTACCTTTTTTAGCTAACTTTGTACTTTAGTCTTAAATTTGATCAAACAAATGATTGCTACAAATTTACAGGAAATCAATAGCCAAAAGGAAACAGGTAATTTAGAGAAGGAAAGAAAACTTTAAAAATTATTATTTTTTTTGTGGAAGATCAGCCCTGAGCTAACATCCGTGCCTATCTTACTTTATTTTATATGTAAGATGCCTGCCACAGCATGGCCTGATGAGCGGTGCATAGGTCTGCACCCAGGATCTGAACCAGCGAATCCTGAGTTGCCGAAGCAGAACGTGCAAACTTAACCACTGCACCACCGGGCTGGCCCCCTCGAAATTCTAATGCATAAACTCTGGTAGATTTGTCATCATAAAAAGAAAGGATTTTAAAAGAAACAGTAAGATAAAGCAAGCAGCTCTTATGAAATTTAAAAATATAATTACAGGGGCTGGCCCCGTGGCCGAGTGGTTAAGTTCGCTCGCTCCGCTGCAGGCGGCCCAGTGTTTCATTGGTTCGAATCCTGGGCGTGGACATGGCACTGCTCACCAAACCACGCTGAGGCAGCATCCCACATGCCACAACTAGAAGGACCCACAATGAAGAATATACAACTATGTACTGGGGGGCTTTGGGGAGAAAAAGGAAAAACATAAAATCTTTAAAATATATATATAATTACAAAATTCACTAGAAAGGCTAGAAGATAAAGGCCAGGCAATCACCCAGATTATGAAATAAAACTATATAAATAGAAAACTATAAATAAAAAGAAGCAATCTGGGAGGTCCAAGGTTTAACCAATTAGAATTCTAGAAAACATAAAATACAGTGGAGGAAATCACTAAAGAAATAATGAAAGAATATTTCTCTGAGATCAATAAGACATGGGCCTTCAGGTTGAAGGCCATTTCCCTCTTATTTTTTAAATGAAAAATGGAATTTTAGCCCAAGAGCTCCACTGGGTGAGCAAGCTAATGCGCGCCTCTGCCAGCAGCTCTTCCCGAAGCAGGGGGTTACGACCATCCACGACCAAGGCCGCCAATGAGACAAGGAGTCCTGGTGGAAGTTACAGTATTTATTTACGTGTTTAAACTCTGTACATTCTCCACAGATCAGATTGAGGAGTTTGTAGGCGAAGTTTACCTGTGCATAGTGGGAAGAGACATGGATAGGGTAAAGGGGAGGAAGACAAAAAAAGTCACAGGGAAATAGAAACAAATACACCACAGGTTACCAGAACCTTCAGAATAAAGAAAGAGAAAGCTGTGAGCATCAACATCAACTCTACAAGCATCACAAAGACTCACGTGAAGGAAACGGAACCTTCGCGCTGTCCACGTGTCTACAGATCACTTCATGTACAACTGCAGCACCCTCCTTCCACATCAACGCAGAGCTCCGCGTTCCCTCCCGCCACTGGCCGCCCACCCCTGCGGTCTCTGAGTGGGCACACAAGAGGCTGGGGAGGAGAGGGAGGCAGAGAAGTCAGAGCGCACCGGGACGGGAGGATCAGCAGCTTCGGGGGGCATCATCCAAAGAGGAAAACAGCACATGTGGACGTTACTTGGGAGGGAGGTGAGTAGTACAAGGCTACAGCAAGGAAACGGCGGACATGGAAGGACATCATATACACACTGCAGGCTAATTTCTGTGGAAGAACTCGATTTAGAAGGAAAGCAGTAGTGAACGCCCCAATCTGTATACACAGGGCTCACTGGAAGATGCTGGAACTCAAATGTTTTTAACCTCCTCAGTGACAGGACTTGTGTGGAGCCCCCCGGGGAGCCAGGAGTGGGAGCACCAGACTTCCAAGAAACTGGTGCTTTGAAGATAATCGTGAGGGGCATCATGCTGTGCTTCGACGGTCAGCTACAGCTCCCTGCTTCCTTCAGCTTCTCTGCGACTTTGTGAAAGCTCATTCAAACAGGGAACACTGCCTTCTTCGTTTTATTTTAATAAAAACCACGACAGTGAATGAGCCTTAAAGAGTTGATTTACACAAGGCAACTGGAACACACAGCCTGCATACACAGTCTATCATTGAAAATCAACATTTCCCATTTATATAGAGCATGTGAGAGACAATACAATAGAAGTGGGATTTCTGATTAAGTTTAAAAAAGAAAACTACATCAGTCAAATATCTGCAAATAGATCACTTTTTTCATTTCATTTAAGGTTTATATATCATATATTGTTATATTAACATTTTTTCACCCATTTAAAAGAATGGAAATTGTGATTCTACAGTAGTACTTTATAGTCTTAACGATCCAGGAGGTCTGAATGTAAGATGAAATCCTCTGGAAGTAACTGTTCGTCAGTAGTCGATCCAAAACGCTGGACCTCTTCCGGCCCGCCTGCACCACCGCGCTCCACCCGGGGGGCCACGTGCTCTCTCCCCTTAAATCTGCATCTGCTCCAGGTATTTGTAGGTCGGGTTTTCGTAACCATGATTCTGCATCTTGTTCAGGTGACGCTCTTCTGGGGTGAGCATAGGGTCAACCTGGAGGAACAGAGATGGAGGACCAGTGCGGGAACCGCAGGAGAACTGCACAGGGTATCAGAAGCCCCGAGCTGCATGCTGAGAAATCCCCTGGGGACCAAAACCAGCCTAGTATCCAGTCTCCACTGGGTGGACCTAACAAGAGCTGGTGGTGAGGACACAGGAGGAGGAGAGAGAAGAGGGTCAAAGAGGCAATGCTTCTGAGAGCCAGTCCTGAAAACTTAGTCCAAGTGGGAGAAAACAGTGAAGTGAAATCCAGCATCACGGCAACAAGCAAGTCTCAGTTCTACCATCTGCCACTTGGGACAGCCTAGGCGAGCGATCCCTATGTAACCAGGAGTGGGACCAGCTGACCGCCAGGGTCTTCTCCCGCTCTGCAGTTCAACAGCTAGGTCAGTGACCAGCAAGAGAAGAAACGAAACAACTAAGCCATGCATCTGAACTCTTTTTCTGGAGCATATTATATTCCTTATTATACTCATTTTACAGAATCAAAAGACTCCGGACATTCCTGCCACCCACTGAAGCACGAGTGGCAAGAAGTTCAAATTAAATCAGCAGAAGATGGAACAGGAACAGCCAGCTTTGGCTCTATTTCCTGATGCTTTTTTCCCCGTTAAAAAAGAAGAGTATTCACAGACCATCATTCTCAAATAACATACCTGAAAAAAGGAAATACCAAGAAAATAATCTGAGAAAACAGTTTTCACCCTCTACAGCATAAAATGCTCTTATGACCTCCTCACATTTACAGACAAAGCCCGAATTAATGTTAAAAGTTGGCAACAGCCCTTTATGATAGGATCAACCTAAGTCACTATTTCACTTGAGGCCAAGTTCCAAAACGTGACTAACAACCCAGAGAGTAATTCAATTGATGTGCAGTACCCAAGAAGCTAGGACGGTTGAATTCCATGAAGCTCCTGAGCGCGCAGAGCAAACCCTCGCCAGCTCAGGGGCCGAGGTGCAAGAAAGCCCAACTACTCACCTCCACGATCCCGTGGCTGATGGTGCCATACTGTCTCTTCCTCAGCACCACCAGGCTGATGACTATGACTGTAGCGATGGCCACGGCAATGACCAGCAGGCCAATGAGCGCACTGCTGCTTAGACTGAAGTCCTCCCGCAGGGGCCCCACGGATTCCTAAAATCACAGAGCAGATGTGCAACAGAGTCCCAGTGACCATCAGCACAGTGTGAAAGACGGCAGCCAAGGCAAGAGCAGCTCGATGAGGGCCGCTCCTTGGAGTAGTGTCTCTAGCCTGAGGGAGCTCCCAGGTCCTGCTTCCAGGTGACCATCCGAATGCAGAGAACCCTGACCTCTTCCAATCTCCATGGAGATTCTAATTTTAGCTTTCTTATCCAAAAGTATGGAAAAACGGGAATGAGAGACTTTTACAACTTAAGACTCCAGGCATCTCTCCTACTTTGTACTTGAACTGAGAAGGTGGGAAAGAGAAATAGCCGAGATTGAATGAAACCCAGCATTAGGTTCTGATGCTGAACACATACCGGCTCTTCCTCGAGACCTCCGACTCTCTCAGCATTGAAGATCATCTCCTTAACATCCAGAGTCTCATCGATGGCCTGGAACAGTAGGAAGATGTCAGCACCAGGTGGAAGGGGAGAGCCAGCATAAATGAACTGCTTCTTTCTACTCCCTTTCCTATGTGGTGGAGGGAAGCAGGTACCTGATGGACACCCAGTACCCAGTCAGTTCTGCCACTTTCTTCTAGTTGCACTCACCAAGCCCCTAAGTGAAGGGGCAGGTGTGGAAGTAAGATTACTGTATCACAGATGGTCATTTAAAGGCTTTCACCTGTGTTTTCCTTTAGGTAACTGTCGTGGAGAGACACTTCAGGACACAGTACCAAGAAGTCATGTTTAAGTATCAAACTTAGTTGAGGATAATCCAGAAATATGTGATAGAAAATGCTAGAATAATAATTAACAGGAGGTATAAACCTAAGGCAGTATAAGAACCAAAACCAACTCTATTCCACTTTGAAGTTATTAAATCTCTACTCACTTGAAAATGGCTTCTCATATTTTATTCACAGCTTTAGTTGCAAATATATTTTTCTATGGTCTAGCAAGAGATGAGCTACCGCTGAAAAATAACGCTTTATTCCTCCTCATACCCAGACGCTAAACAATATAGCAAATCTGTGGGAGCAGCTGGAGCTCACCCACCTTCTACCATATGGAAAACGAACACATCAAGGTTCATCCAGAAAGCATCAAAAACAATACCGCTCACTCTTAAAACAGGGCAAGGCAGAAGAAAGAAACGACTCACCATATTTTCATCCACCTTATTCTTACTGTTAATCACCTTCTCCTCAGCGCCTATCAGTGCTCGGTCCTGCTCCCCGACTCCAGATCCTGCACGGAGAGAGGTCACAGCTGAGTGTCCATGATGGGCTGGTGTCATGCCAAGCTCACAGCAGCAGCAAACCCTCTCCTGAGGGCCAGGGAGCCCTCCCTGAGTGCCCCCCCGCCTCTCAATATGCTACTTGGTTCACATGTTGGAAGATGCACTGTGCTCTATAAGGATGAATGATATAGGTCTTTTTCAGAGGATTGATGGGTATAATGAAGAAGGAGAGAGTGCTTACTTGTATCCAACTTGGAAAAATGGAAGGCAAGCCTCCAGAAGACAAAGTTTATTGTAAGATGAACAGAAGCCGAGTCCAAAGGCATTCCAGCATGGAAAACCTGTAATACCCTACGTGACGTGACCAAGCAGGTGTTACCCTGCGACTTGCTCCTTCAACTCCCTGAGCTCCCTCTGAATGGAGGGACTGTCCTACCACCAATGGATGTGCAAGTCTGTCTCAAGCATCGTATTTTATGCCTCAGGCAATTCTTGCTGCCTGAAAAAGCCTCCATGACCTTGAAGCCTTCTTATTTGTCCTTCAAGCTGCAGCTCCTCTTGGGAGACATTCCCAGGTTACAGCACTTAAAATCACTGTTTGTAATTATTGATTTTCTTTGGTGTTTCCCACCAGGCTGTAACCCTCTCTGGGCCTAGATCATTGATGGTCACCTCTCCGATGGTTATCAGACAATGAACAGGAAGGAAGCATTCCATAAACAGGGAGAATTCAAACACCAGGGTGTAAGGTACTTTTCTATAAATGAAGCAAGAATAGCAAGACTTCTCTTGTTAAGGTCAACATGGCCTAAGTCAATGTCACTTGTGCGTGGCACTCCAAATGACGGTATCCAAAGACGCAGTGTGACTAAACTCAGCATATCCAAGGAGAGGAAAATGAGGAGCAACCTTCTTTATTTTTAGCTCCAAAGCATGTGATTTCTAACTATCCTAAGAGTTTCTTATTAATAATAATATATACAGTTCTACATAAGTGTCTATGATTGGAACCTTTTACAAGCAGATCAAGCTGATGGCATACTTGGCATTCTAAGGTGACCACCTACAAGTGAGTAAGATGCAAGCATGAGCATATGCAAAGCTGCTGTCCCTGGACCACCAAAGGCAGACCGCCCAGCCACAGCAAAGCTTTCCAGCTCACAACTAGCCTCGATCTCGACACGGAGCAATTAGGGACAGCTACTGCACGTGCTGAGTTTGCAGGCCAGCTAAAGCATTAACTCATCAGAACACAGCCAAAGATGATGCCATTTTTTTCTAAAGCTTTCATTTTAAAGAAGAATTTCCCAACTTGATTCTAGGGTAAGGTAAACCAGGGCTGGCTTTTGTAGTCTCAAAACACCAATGAAACAGCAATACCACACTCAACTATTCGAGAAAGACGGCTCTGGAAAGGCACTGCCTTGGCGAGGACGCCTGTGATCAAGCCTAAGAAATTCTGATTCTATTCTGAGCTCCTTCCACCACTTTCCCTCTCTCCTCCTCAGAATCGTTGAGGTCACAGGACAGGATCATCTTCGAAAAATTATGTGACATTGAAGCAACCAACGTAAAGTCTGACTAGTCCAGTCTGACTAGTACTTTTTTGGTGGTATAACCACGTGTTTGTTAAACATTGACCCAAACCATTTTGGTTTTATAGAATGCATAAACAAGAGAATTCAAGAGACCAAAAGTTAATGTTTAAGTTATTCCAACTAACAATAGCTGAAGTATGATGGCAAAAAACAGTTAAACTTTTAGGAGAATTCATCTTTATTTAAAAACATCTAAGATGTGCTGTTTGGAGGAATGTCAACACAGCGATGAAAAGGCACACCCAAGTAGAATAAAACACAGCACTTACACATAAGTGATTTTTAGAGGATTCAAATCACACTCTCATGTTCTGAGAACGACCTGTGGCACAAAGACCAGCACCACATTCTCCGCGAGGACACCATTCGTCCATCCACAACCATCTGCCAAAGTCAGAGTGGGCTCGTAAAGCACACAGAACATTTCAACTTATTACAATGACCCTGGAGCCTGTGGACCACTCAACAACCAGGGAGAGTCGGCGGCCGATGGTGGCTGTTTATTTTATTTATTTTTAATTTTTATTTATTTATATATTTTTTTGAGGAAGATGGGCCCTGAGCTAACATCTGTGCCCACCTTCCTCTATTTTACATGTGGGATGCCTGCCACAGCATGTCTTGATAAGCGGTGTGCAGGTCTGTGCCCGGGATCCAAACCAGCAAACCCGAGCCACCGAAGCAGAGCATGTGAACTCAAACACTGCGCCACCGGGCTGGCCCTGACACTGGCATTTTGTTACACAAACAGCATGGGCTTTGAAGACAGAGGGAGCTGGGTCCAAACTCCAAGTCCTCCACTTCTTAAACTCATGCCTTTGAGCCAATCATGTGAACTCTAAGGCTCCTTCAATGGCCTAATCCATAGAGGGAAGCTAAAAATCCCACTACAGTTGTGCTGGGTGGCTTAAATGAGATGAAGTATGGGGGCTGGCCCCGTGGCCGAGTGGTTAAGTTCGCGTGCTCCGCTGCAGGCGGCCCAGTGTTTCGTTGGTTCGAATCCTGGGCGCGGACATGGCACTGCTCATCGAACCACGCTGAGGCAGCGTCCCACATGCCACAACTAGGACCACAACGAAGAATATACAACTATGTGCTGGGGGGCTTTGGGGAGAAAAAGGAAAAATAAAATCTTTAAAAAAAATAAATAAATAAATAAATAAACATATTTAAAAAAAAAAAATGAGATGAAGTATGCACAGTGTTACAGAGTATTAACTTTTCCTGAAACCTGGAGACTCAGTACAGCGAGCGTTCGCTTGACCCACGCTGTTTCATCAGCAGCTTCCACTGCGTTTTGAGGAATGCTGTAACAGAGGGAACACGAGACAACTGGCAACAGACAGGTGGGCACAGACAGAGGGCAAGGGGCAGCTAAAGAGAAAGGAAAAGGATGTAGGTGGGAACAGCAGAGAAAAGAAAAGGAGCAAAAGAAAATGACTCTCCACCTGACTGTAAATTAAGTGTTTCTTCTACACTTATATACACCAGCAATTTGCAACCAAACTGCTTAAATTGGATATACTTTTAAAAGTCTACCCAGATTAAAAGGATTTATGAAAAAGCTACTCAGGCTACTCTGTATTCTCTGGACACCAAGAAGGAAAGCTCAGGACGGCCACCTCGCATCCAGTACCACTGACACTGGGTTCTAGGTGCTGGAGACAGGGCCACTCTGGCTCCACTCACAGCCACGTCTGAAGAAATGAGGTGGAAAAACCAGGTGATGGAATGAAACAGAACATGGAACTTCCAACACACGGGGCAAGTGGAGACAGAATGAAGGTCTCACGGGAACATCTGTGACAAACCAACCTTTTCTCATTGGGCGGTACAACTCCGGTTGAGTGTCTAGCAGAAAGGAAAACAATGAAAACAAAACAGCACAAAAGGAGATTAAGAAAGAAAACGGCTTCTTTCAAAATTCCTATCTTAGAATTTCTCTATAATGTGAACAAAAAGTATTCCTCCTTAAAAACCATGCCTGAAATATCCCATAAACAAACCAACAGTTAGATCCACAGCAAATACGCGGAAGGTAGGAGAGAAAGAAGGGGGTCTGTTGGGGGAAATTCTATGAGATTCCCAAATTATTTCACTTAGCTCACAGATATTTTTCTTAGAAAATAACAAAAACAGAAGTTAGTATAGATTGTGGTTTCCTGAAAAGGAGACACGGTACTAGCTCAGGTACGCCCAAGATGCCCATCCCCCAAACAAGCTGTGTGCGCATGGCCAGCCCGCAGCCCCAGGGAGCTGTGGGACTGGTTAAGAGCAAGTTTCTGGAACGCAGTGACCTCTTTATTTATCCGGCTCCTTTCTCAGGTGGTTGTACTGTTGGAGGCTCAAGTTCACTGAGCTGGTACCTCTGAGATGACCAGCTTACAAGTCTGAAGGCCAAGTGGGATGTCCCCCTTCCTCCCTACTCGGCGTCGTCCTCCGGCCTCCACTCCAGCACTACTATCTCTGGTCAGAGGGAAGTGACCATACCTAGGACTGCAGGACCATATCGGCTTGGCTTCAAATCCTTACTCCCCACCTAGAAGCTACGAGACCCTGGGCAGACACTTAACCTCTCTAAACCTTGGAATCCCCAAATGGGGACACTTCCAGTATGTACCTTAGAGGGTTATTTTGAGGATTAAATGAGAGCATCCATGCACGATGCTTAGCTAAAGCTGGCCTATGATAAGAACTCTATAGCTGTGGCCACTATTTTTATCACCACCACCATCAGCAGCAGCAACAGCAGCAGACAAATAAATAGAATCCGATTCCACACCCGGCCTGAAGGCATCAGTCTCAGCAGCTTGTTTATTTCTGATGCAGACCCACAGCTCTTAGAGATCCTTTTAGACATCAAGAACCAGCAAGGGAAAGAAGCAGGCACGCCTGACTGGGAGTCAGACGGACATAGCTTCTTGTCCCCACGTAGCAGCAGAGGTGTGACCTTGAGCAAGTCACCTCTTTAGCCTCCCCATTCCCCACCTTCCACAATTGTTACGAAAAGATAATGACACAATGTAACAGGAAAGTGCTATCTAAACTGCAAAGTGCCTTCCACACTGGAGCAGCTGGTAGGACCAGGAAAAACAGTGGGTTTTGAGCACACTGTCTCTAAAATGGGAGAAATATCACTAACCTCAGGGTGACCCTGAAACCAACGATCTGCTGCACACGGTAGGTGCTCAAGGAACCGAGTCTGCCTTGCCCTGCTCCTGACTGTTCCCAGGAGCACAGCCTCCCCAACACAACTCAGGGTCAAAAATCTGACTTCAGTCTTCTAACTGCACTCTTCCCTCCCTCACGCCACCGCCAAGAAGTTGTGCTGTCAATCATACACACCTTCATCCCCGGGGAGGGATGGGAAGGGATGGAAGGGGCGGAACGGCGGGATCTCGTCACTCTCTTCAGAGCTCACCCGGACGTCCACGGGCGTCTCTGAAAGCGAGGCAGTGAACTGGTCCATGTCTGCACGCTGTTCTTGAAGTAGCTCATCTGACAAGACAGATAGGGCAGGGAACCAGGTCTTCAGAAGGATCTAGTTTCTAGGCACAGGACCAACAGTCTGGACAAAGCTAATGTGTGCCATTATAGAACGTGAGATCTGCCGAGGGGAGCGCCCCCACCAGCTCACAAGGCAGTCAACGACCCCCTCCCTCCCACCTGAAACACCCTCCCAATTCTGCAGCACTGTAGAACCTGGGGCTCCACCCCTGGCACCCCTCTCTTCTCTATCGACTCACCTTGGTTAAGTGGCTTCATCCAGCGGCACAGTATTAAATACCATCCACATAACATGACTCCCAAATCTGTATCTTGTATCTACTGCCCCAACTTCTGGCTCATCTAATGGCCTACCTTACACCAGCACTTAGTGCCCAACAGCAATTTCTATTTTGATATGTATAAAGAGAACACTCTACCTCATTAAAACTTGGTGCCACCATCCACTCAGTCGCTCACAATGAAAGCCTGCGCATTATCTTTGACGCTCCCCTCCCCCTCACCGCCCCCATCCAAGGCATCAGCACGTCCTTGTCACCCTTCCTCTGAAAATAGCCTGAAGCCCATCCTCATCGAAAATCTTCATTTCCTCCATTACCATCTCAGGGCACACAACCATCATCTCTCTCGTGAATTGTTACAATCACTTCCTGGGAGGTTCCCAATTTTAATCAATTCTCCACCTAACAGCCAAGTAATTTTCTTTTTTTAATTCCCTTTCTTTTTTAAAGCATAATCCAGATCTAGCCACTCACTAGGTTTAAAACCCTCTAATGGCTTTCCATTATCATAGAATAAAGTCCAAACTTCCAGATTTTGCTAAAATCTCTTAACAATTTGGCCTCTGCCTACTTCTGTGGCTCATTTCTCCCTATGCTCTAGCGACCCTGATCTACTCAAACGTGCCCGCTTGATTTAAACTTCAGGTCTCTGCAATAGTCATTTCCTATGCTAACAATGTTCTTCCCCTTGTGGTCTCTGCGTGGACAGCCCCTTCTTAGCATTGGATCTCAGGTTACTGTCCCCGAGACGGCCTCCCTGACCACTAGCCACTCTCCACCCTTCCATCCCCAGTTCCACCTCCCTCCACAGCACTCAACATGGCCAGAGCAGCTGTTTTCCTGTCTGTTTCTCCCCTACTATAACCAGGCTCCAGGAGATACTGTCTACTCATGTACCATTTTACTCTGTGACACACAGTGTACACAATAAATATTTGTTGAGTAAATAAAAAAGATAAAGACCAGAAGAGGGAAATCACGTGAGGATGTGTGTAACATAGGTGCCTTGAAACACATCAGTAATGAAAGGAAAAAGGGTAACAGGAGACACCCTCATTCCCTTGCAATTTCACACCCCAGGTTTTTCTTCCGGTAACAGAGTGAAGGTCAATGAAACTCAAGGCTCTGTGGCTCACAGCCAGGACTTGACCCTGCCACGTAAGCTCCAGTGAAGTCCAGACTTCTAAAACCATGGCGTGCTAATGCCAGCTTCGTGGCCTCGCTTGTCCTGTTTGCCGTCACTCCCGAGCCTTAGCAAGAAGTCCCACCTGCCCTCGATACAAACACAGGCAGCACCCACCAATCTCCTCTTGGATCTCTTGGGCTACATAAGGTACTTTGTAGAGCAGGGAGAGGCTCTGGTTCCTTCTTTCCTCAATCACATGGAGATGTGTCATCACCTGGAAGGACAGAATGGTGGAGAGGCCTTGTCACCAAAACAGCCGGGCCAGGAGGGACATCCACACACACTTCTGCAAAGACCAGCTGAAAATGTCTATTCTCTAGAGTCCAGCAAAGCAGCTGACCAGAGGGAACGCGTGACTCCCCACATCATATTTACTGACCACTGAAGTATAAGACTGTGTTCAGACTGTGTGTGACACCCCTTGGTGATCTGAGAATTTATCCACAGACAGTACTCCAGGGTAAAAGAAAATTTAACTAAAAAGTTTTCACTGGCGAGTTATTGCTTTGATTTTCCTATGAGGCACTTATCAACTATACTGAATGAGTTAAAAAGAACCCTAATTTGTTCAAGGCAAGGGAAAAGAGGATCGAAACAAAAAGACAACCCACTAACTGGGAAAAAATATTTGCAAGTAATACATCCGACAAAGGCTTAATATCCATAATATAAAAAGAACTCACACAACTCAACAACAAAAAATTAAACCACCTGATCAAAAAATGGGCAGGAGACATGAACAGACATTTCTCCAAAGAAGATATACAGACAGCCAATAGGCACATGAAAAGATGTTCATCATCGCTGATCGTTACCAGGCTTTTCCTAAATCAGGGAAATACAAATCAAAACTACACGAAGATATCACCTCACACCCATTAGAATGACAAAAATAACTAAAACAAATAGTAACAAATGTTGGAGAGATTGTGGAGAAAAAGGAACCCTCATACACTGCTGGTGGTAATGCAAACTGGTGCAACCACTATGGAAAACAGTATGGAGAGTCCTCAAAAAATTAAAAATAGAACTACCATATGATCCAGCTATCCCACTACTGGGTATCTATCCAAAGAGCTTGAAGTCAGCAATTCCAAAAGTCCCATGCACCCCAATGTTCACTGCAGCATTTACAATAGCCAAGATGTGGAAGCAATCTAAGTGCCCATCAACAGATGATTGGATAAAGAAGATATGAGATATATATATATATATATATATATATATATATATATACACAATGGAATACTACTCAGCCATAAAAAAAGAACAAAATCGTCCCATTTGCAACAACATGGATGGACCTTGAGGGAATTATGTTAAGTGAAATAAGCCAGATAGAGAAGGACAATCACTGTATGACTGCACTCATATGAGGAATTTAAACATGTGGACAAAGAGAACAGATTAGTGGCTACCAGGGGAGAGGTGAGGTGGGGGGTGGGCACAAAGGATGAAGGGTTGCACGTACAACACAACTGACAGACAATAATGTACAACTGAAATTTCACAAGATTGTAACTTATCATTAACGCAATAAAAAAAAAAAAAAAAAAAAAAAAAAAAAGAACCCTAATTTGTACAAGGCCAGACACTCAACAAGGTTTTCCTGAGTGAAAGTGTTAATTTTTACCACTGGTCAGATTAGATGGGGTAAAAAGAGAATGAAATCACTGGCTAAAAAGTAGATTTGGGGGGAGAGGGGACCATCTACAGATTTTTCTTAGTAAAGCAGTTGCTTGAAATTATTATCATGCTAAATAACAGAACTAGTTTATTCCTATGTAACTAATTTAGCTATTCTTCAAAAAATTTATGCTGAGGTATAAATAAATTTGATTTTAAGAGGTGATGCAGGAAGACTTACCGATTGTCTGTCTTCCATAGCTCACTACCTTCTCTTAACGCAAAAGTTCCAAAGTTCTTCATCAAAACAAAACCAAACAAGTCATAAAACTGGTCACTTACTTCTCAAAGCTTTACAGAGCGGAAAATGAAGGGTAATTTGGGCTAAGATCACCCAAATGACGTGTGAGGCTTGTGGGCTGGAGCTCACACAAAGCTATTCGAGAAAGGTTTTTCCCCTGCCTGGTTACACCTGCCCATACCACGCTTTTCCTAAAGAGGGTGCTCTAAGCCAGTGGATTAATTACGTGGGCTTGAAGCCATTATTAACATAAAGGGTCAAATGGAAAACAAGTCAAAGGGAAAGATGCTTTGATTGTAGACTGATGTCTCTCTGACCTTTAAAAGCAAGGATGGAACAATTTAATTTTACATTTGCCATTCTTTCAATCAACTAAATTGAGGGGAAAGCACAAGAGTGAGAGCCTTAGAGAAAAAATGCAAATGGAAAAAAAAGGGGTACCACCCACAGACTTAGCATGTGTTGAAACCGTTATGCTTCTTCAGATGAATCACGGAGGCATTTGAGAGAAGATGGTTCACAGACACACAGGAGGACAAGAGCCACGGGCGGAATGCTGGACATCTGTGTCTTTATGAAAGTGAGCCCTGGGCTACAGGAGGAGAGTGACAGCACCACACCACTCACACCCCAAACCAAATACACACTGGTCGTAACAGCCTGACTATACTCACGGTTTCCTCGAGTTTAGCTAACAGAAAGGGAACAGGCAGAAGGTTAACGTAATTCAGACAGCCAAGCTTCAGGAGAATTAACGGCTTAGAGCAGACAGTAAGTATCACACAGCAGAGCTGGGTTTCCCCCAGGATTTTCTAGGGAGGGAGGGTTCTGCTTCCCCTGTCACTTGGTGTGGCACTTTGATCTTGCTGGCAGGTAACTCATTCCCTAGTTGTCAATTTAATATACTAATCAAGGATTATTAATAATTAATAGAAAGGCTTGGACCAAACTCGTATGTTTATGGAGTAAGTGAACTCATCTAGGCATTTTTATTCCTCTAAAGATTGGCACTTGAGCTAACATCTGTTGCCAATCTTCTTTTTTTTTCCTCCTCTTCTTCTCCCCAAATTCCCCCAGTACATAGTTGTATATTTTAGTTGTGGGTCCTTCTGGCTGTGCTATGTGGGACACCGTCTCAGCACGGCCTGACGAGTGGTGCCACGTCCGCGCCCAGGATCCAAACCGGCAAAACCCTGGGCCGATGCAGCAGAGCACATGAACTTAACCACTCAGCCACAGGGCCGGCCCCCTCATCTAGGCATTTTCAGTGCCTTGTTTTATACCATTAAGCTACATTAACAGGTTTATTTTTGAATTAAATTAATTTGTAGGCAGATAACTTTATTTGTGATCATGTCCTTGACACGTTTTTATGCCTTTCCTTCCACCCTCACCACATACAACAGGCTATTTTTCTGTAAAATACTACACAATAGTCTAGTTTTTCCACAAAAAATTTGAAAAAAAATTTTTTTTTTTTGGTAAGGAAGATTGTCGTTGAGCTAACATCTGTGTCAATCTTCCTCTATTTTATATGTGGGATGCTGCCATGGCATGGCTGGATGAGCGGTGTGGTGTGTAGGTCCATGCCCAGGATCTGAACCCACAAACCTGGGGCCACTGACATGCAAATTTAAGCAGTACACCACTGGGCTGGTCCCCAAAACAACATTTTTTATAAAATCAAGTAGACCTGAAAAATCTAACCCCTGTCAAGAGGCAGGCACTTCCGACCTAAGCTCCCTGGGAGCTACTCTAGGACGCCTGGCCTTTTCTCCTTCTCTACTCCAAGCAGCTCAAAGCAAGGCCTGGTGGTCCAGGCCCTACCAGAGGCCTCCTAGGATCCCAGCCCCAGCCCCTTTCTACATTCTTCCCCCTCTAGGAGCCAGAGTCCATTCATTCCCCCAAACATCCAAATGACAGAGTGAACTCTATGTATTTAAAGACAATGATTCCTCATCTCGATAGCTCACATAATTAATTCTATACTGGATCATGCACTGCTCAGGGGGAGACAGGGAGTCAACTTTGTATTGTCAGAGGCTACTGCAGAATTAGGAGGCAGACAGCACACAAACTTCTGCTCAAGAAATGGAGCAATAACCTTAGCTGCAATACTCCAGGAGGACAGATTACTTTACAATCCTAATACACATGCAGCACGAGGCCGGGAGGGGGGTTCCTGGGATGATGGGCAAGCACTCATGCTTGTCAGTGCATCCCATGTACACTGAGTGCCCACAACCAGCACAGCACTCTACTTAAAGCATGGGAGGAAATAAAACATCAGTTACGTCACTATAAGGCCCTCCAGGAAAACTAACAGGCTCAACTACTAGATTTCCTGGTTTAAAAGGAGCTAGCAATCTTGTGGGCACATTCACTTTCAATGAATAGAAGAGTAAAACTCAAGTTAATATAGAGACAATACTGAAATTAGAAAGCAGGTCCAGACACAAACCTCCATCAACACCTGTAAAGTAAAGCTGGACTCAGCAGGGTCAGACCCCAGGAGCGTACCAGTCTGTCTAAACAAACACTGTAACGCACAACCCAAGACGCCAATTTTTAAGATCTACTTGATGTATCTGTCTAGAAAAAGATTTCAAATATTAATTCTGGTGATACCCTAAATCAGAAATAAACTGATATAAAAAACAATTTAGAAACTGACTTCTCTCTTACAACATAATCATGTATTCCCTAAATTTCAGAAACTGTTTAAGCAGAAAGTACATAAATATAAAAAAGTACGGAAAAGATATTTAATAGAGTACCTTCGCAAAAACCAACTCATGTACCTAATGTCTCTGGAAATCGAAAATCATTTTCTGAGCACTAGTAACAAGGGCGACCGTCAGTGCTCTCCAACCATGGGTCAGAGCAGCCTCTCCCCATCAGAAATTCCCGCAGCCACGGCCACCTTGTCTAGCACACCTGGGATTTCATCTGGGCCGCCTTCTCTGGGTCGACAGCCAACACGTGCTGGTAATGGCGGATGGTATGCAGGCGATCCTTGTTCTCAGCACGGACATAACGCCGCAAAGCCTGGAGGATGCGATGAGGCTGCGAGAGAGGACAGTTCTTTTAACACCCAGAAACTAGGGAACTGAAAAGAGGCAGAAAACAAAGCTTAAAAAAGTCACTTACGAATGTAAAGCTCAGTGAGGCACAAGAATGAAAGCAGTACTTTTAAAAGCTTCTAGCTTACCAAGTAACAAGAAGCTGCCTTTCTAAGTAAAAGTACCAAAAACTAAGTTCCAAAGTTATACTGGCTCCTTAACAAACAGTATTTCCTCAGGGTTTCTAGCCCACTGTCCTCTTCCACTCTGTCCTCTTTCCCGAGCTCAGCATGTGACATCCTAAGTACAAGCTGGGCAGTCCCTGTGTCACCAGAAAAGACTACTTGCCTAAGAAGAACACAAACAGCCTCCTTTCCACGCCCCAAAACAAGGTAGGTTCGAGTTAAAGGACAAACAAGTTTGAAACAGCTAGCACAAAGAGTTTCAGTATAAATTACTTCATCCTTTTCTTCATAATCTTATTTAGAATAGAACTAGTTCAAAGGCCTTTGTCCATGGAAGGCATGTTTTTATTCTTTGAAAGAAAGGCTACTACAAAAATTCAGCAATGAGACAACTAAGCGAGCATCCTGAGGTTATGCTTTTCTACGGTAAGATACTTGCCTATCACAGGTGGCACACGCAGGCATAAACGTAATGCTAAGTCTCCATAAGCAGACACTAGAGAACATAACACCTTTTCCTCCCTACTCTTAGTTTCTTACCTCCAGACTTGCCAGAACCTATTATAAAAAAGTAATTTTTACTGACCTGTGTGTCATAAATTGGTCCCACACACACACTTTAGGGCAGGCAATGCTGAGGATCCAATTCACCAGGGACTCGGCTCCACGCACAACTCACCCGCGGTGGGTCAGACTGCAAGGCCGCCAGGTAGTTCTCCAGAGCCATCCGGCGGCGGTCGTTCAGCATCGCCTCCACTCGAGCCAGGTGGGTTTCCACCAGCTGCTGCTTCTCACTGGCTGCTTCCTTCTCCAAAGCTTTGACCATAGCTTGGAAGTGCTAAACCAAGAAAGAAGGAACAACACATAATTCACGGTGCCTGGAGGAAGTCTAAGCACACAACTGTAGACCGCAATGCTGTGCTTCTCCGTGCCCAGTGCCTGTGCCAGCTGTCACAGGTCCAGAGCGCAGCGAGGCTGGGATCTGAGTCTACGTTATATCTGATTTCCGTCGGGATGACTACCTTCCTCTTCTGATGAGGGCACGGTAAATCTGGGTGTCACAAGGACTCCTTAGCATTTCCGTAACTGAAACGACTAGAGCTAGAAGCCCAGTGCCTGGTCTCTCCACAGGCCCTGCAAGAAAAGAACGCTATCCTTCCCACACTGCAGCAAGGCACTGACTTCCAGATCCTGAGACCACAGACCAACAGGAGGTATACTTTAAAACACATGCCAGTAATAGCGTGGGTTGTGCTGAGTCATTCACACCAAACTCATGAAGGGAAAGCTGGTTGTGAGGCCCCTGGCCAGGTTGAAAGGTCCAGTTTAAGGCTGTGAACAAACTGTCCCTGTGTAGGATGCATTGGCTACGTAGAAATTAACACTCTCAGATTTTCTAGGTGATTGATAAAAAAAGCAAAGGTGTGCCAATGAAGCGTCATCATGAGATGAAAACATCTCAGTGAAACATAAAAACATACTGACTTAAAATGTAACCAAGTTATGAAACCCAAACCTGTAAACTGCCACCCTGTTCCCATGGACACTCTTCAAGGAGCACGCAGGGGCCGCGAGGACTGAGCTCACACGCTTATAGAGTTAGAGAGGAACTGCTATCCGAGAGCTTTATTTTCTGCCTTTTGACTTTTCAACAAGTCTACAAAAAAAGATTTCAGTACTGCTGAACAAGTCACAGCCTAAGAATGAAGGGGACCGAGGACCGTGCCAGGACAGCAGCGAGCTAAGGTTACTGCCTGGCATGAGTTCGGTGTGCACTGGCTGGGGTTTGGTTTCCGAGTACCAGAGGTGAGCAATTCTGGAGAATGCCAGCTGGGAAGTGAAAAAAAGCCGGTCAGTTCAAACTTCCTTGTAACATAAGCTCTCAACTGAAAGGAGGTATCAGGCTCCAGTTTCCTGTGTGGTGGCCTGACCCTGTTTCAAAGGGTCAGGCTGGAGCTCTGCCCCGAGAACATCTCACCTGAATGAGAGTCTGCCTCTCTGCTTTCGGGAGGTTCTTCGCCTGAAGTTCGGCCTCTTCCCACTCCTTCTTTACCTGGAACAAAGGCCAAACCCACCTTAACCAGAGAATCATCTCTGAAACAATTCCCCTACTCTCTAAAAATACTGCCAGGCCCTGAATCGAACGTAGGAAACCGGACAAAAGGAAACATGTCGTCTGATGCCTCGCGAGCTGAGGGCCATTTCAGCCTGTCGATGACAAGAGGCTGCAGGTCCTAGGCCTCCAGAATCCCCACACGGAGCCTCAGTCCCACAACCTCCCTGTCAGATAACCTTGAGCAAGTTATTTAAAAGTCACTCTGCCTCAGCCTCCTCAAAAAGAATGGGGGTGGGGGGGCAGTTAATACCTACTTCTCAGAGCTAACGTGGTTAAGACAGAGCATCGAGCATGGCCCAAATGCCCAGCACAGGCAATGGGGCAGGTGGCTCGGACCTAGCAGGACCTCCCCTGGCAGTCTTCTTCAGCCCTCTGAGGAAGCCTAAGACAAACCACACTGCAGAACTCATCTTCCGCTAACACCTACAACCCTCTGAGGAAAACAGAGCACCCGAGACTCAGAACCCTCACAGCCACACGACCCAGCTAGAATGAATTCATCCACGCTTGCTGTCACCTAACGTCTCTCTACAGTTCCCTCATCTACTGGCAAACGAAACTAGCACTCCATTTACACCTGTGATATAAAGTTCCCTTCTTTAAAATAATTTTTTTTTAAGTTAGTTAATGGCAAAGAAAAATAATACGACTAAGGGGTGCCAGCCCAGTGGCACAGTGGTCAAGTTTGCATGTTCTGCTTCGGCAGCCTGGGGTTCACCAGTTCAGATCCCAGGTGCGGATGTACACACTGCTTGGCAAGCCATGCTGTGCCAGGCGTCCCACATATAAAGTAGAGAAAGATGGGCATGGATGCTGGCTCAGGGCCAGTCTTCCTCAGCAAAAAAAAAAAAAAAAAAAAAGGAGGACTGGCAGCACATGTTAGCTCAGGGCTAATCTTCCATAAAAAAATAAATAAATAAAATAAATAAGAGCAAGGGCTGGCCCCGTGGCCAAGTGATTGAGTTTGCGCACTCCACTTCAGCGGCCCAGGGTTTCACTGGTTTGCATACTGGGCTCATCAGGTCATGCTGAGGCGGCATCCCACATAGCGCATCCAGAAGGACCTACAACTAGAATATACAACTATGTACTGGGGGGCTTTTGGGAGAAGGAAAAAAAAAAAGATTGGCAACAGATGTTAGCGGAGGTGCCAATCTTAAAAAAAAAAAAAAAAAAGCAGCAGCAAACCAGATGGTTACAGAACGTGCCCAGCATGGAGTCTGGAATGTGAAAGGCACTCAGAGGGTAATGACATTATCAGGGAGACGACTGAGGACGGATCCTAGTCACGCCCAGGGGGCAGCGCTGCTTATACTCACAGCTCACCTGTCCTAACACAGCATGACAGCCTAGGGAGAAGGGGTCCCTTTCCTTCAACCATGAAAACCATGTTACCCAAAGCCAAACCCCACTGAGACAGGGCAGCGCCGAGGTTTACCCTGTCCATCCGGTTGCGGTGCCGAATTTCCAGCTGTTCCTTGGCCTTCTGGAAGCGAGCATGCTCATTATCATCAGCAGAGGTCTCGAAATACACATCGACATCATTGGTTGGCAGAGGAGTTGGGGGAACTGAAACAAAGTAACAGAGGGAGTTCTCTTTGGGAGTCAGGCCCAAGTGGAAACCGCACTGTGCTCCAGGAAGAAGACCAAGCTCAGGAGCTGAGAATGGACGAGTTGGTCGCACACCCCCCAAAGCGCAGGGTGCTCCTGCTGCCAAGACTCCCCTGTTAGATTACAGGGGTCCACCTTCCTGACGTGCTATTGACCCACCAGGCGAGCCCATGTGCCCTGGTGTCTGCGGCACCAGCGAGGCGTCTTTACTTAGGACTTCAAGGACAGAAAAGGAAATCACTTCTTCTATACCTTCCCTCAGTTCTTGAAACCTTAAAACCTTAAAACCTAAAACACAGCTACCCTGCTTGCTGTCACTGACAGCATCTGAG